TTTTTTTGTTGAATAATGATTTTTAATTTGTAATATTTCTTTTTAGTTAATATATTTTTTTGTAATAAGTGAATGGGGCAAGCTACAGGATAATTTTTATCTTTGTGTTATGAAAAAAATAAAGCACCGCTTAAGACTATCTTACTCCTCATCTTTTTTAAACCTCAAATGCTAATATCTTAAAAGTTATCAATACAATAATGTTATTTAATTCTATTTCCCACTTAACAGTAAAACAATAATTTCAGGTTCCCATTTAATTTTCGAAATTTACCCTTAAAATCTACTTTTAGAAATAATATTTTCTTACAATAATCTGGGTGTTTACTATGGTTCACAAAAATAAATCAAATTATAATCTGTACATTTTTATTAAATATTATTCAACAAAAAAAAGAGGGTAGTATTCTTAATAAATTATCCGCAAAATATACGGACTTGTATATGATCAAGATTTTCAAGGGTGGAGAAAGAGACACAACCAAGAACTGATGGAGATATTCAATAGACCAAGTATTTGTAACGAGATCAAACGTAGTAAGTTGAAATGGGCTGGAAACGTTTGTAGAAAGCAAAATTCAATGGTTCAAAGAATGCTCCTAGAAAACCCATGGAGCAAAAGACCACTGGATAGACCAAGGCTACGCTGGGAAGATGGAATCAAAAATGATTTCCTAAATGTTAGAGGGGATTATGGAGGCATGGATTGGAAGGAAGCAGCGAAAAATAGAGAAGAACGGGGGAGGATTTGTTCTACGGCAAAATAGTCTCAAAGGCCATAAAAAAAAAAAAAAATGAATTAAATTACCGTCCAGCTTCTTGAGATAGTTGTGACCAATCTCTTCTGACAATATCTAAACCTTTTATTTCTTCCTTAGTGATAAAATCTCCTGATGGTAATTTTGAAATAGAAATAGCAGCATACTTTTTTTTCTTTAAAAGTAGCATGTACTTGAAAACTCCATCAATGTCTAATTCAACTTGTTTGTAAATTTTATTAACTTCCGCTTTTATCTAAGAAGTTAATTTTGTGAGTCAATAGACTAACATAACATGTGTAAAATCAAAATAATTCAATAAAAATTTTTTTTTCCTTAATTCTGAAATTAAATATACTACAAACAAAGATTTTTTAAACTTATGTAACACTTAAGAAATTTTTTATTTCAATCATGTTTAAATTAGATATTTATCAAATTTTCTTAAGTTTACTTATTGAAATGACATTAACATAAAAAATAATATTTTATATTTTAAACTTAACTTACTTTATATCCAATTTTCATGACTTGATCATAGTCGACACAATTTGAATTAATCATCAATGAGTCAGTATCTCCATAAATAACATCAAAAGCTAATTTTTCAACTAAATCTTTAGTACTAGTCAATATTTCTCTACCTTTAGCTGTAATTAATGCAGCTAATGGTTTAGCATAAAAACGTGAATGAGCAAAACCCAAACATCCATACATACTGTTTGCAGTAAGTTTCAATGCCATTTGTCTTAAATTGTACTATAGAAAATGCATATATTTTTTAATATATTAATAGAGTAACATGAAATAAGCTTTAACATGTAATTACTTGTTCTTTGACTATTGGTGATATTTTTGGATCATTCATTAATTTTTTAACTTCTCTTCGTGAATCAACCAAAGATTTTATCTCAGCAGGTAAAATTCCACGAGCTGAAGTTTGATTTGGTGTCAATTTTAATAACTCAGCTATTTCATCTTCGTCCTAACAACAAAAATATTCAATCATTTAATATAAAGAAATATTAAAGCAATTACTTTTTTTACCTCAGCAGTTTTAGGAAGAGTTCGAAAACTAACAGTTGTAAAACATATATTATACTCTTGTATTATGCTTGGANTAAAACATATATTATACTCTTGTATTATGCTTGGGTACAAGGAATTAAAATCCATAAGTAGAATCATTTTATCATAAAAACCAACTTTAGGTTCTAGTACAAGACCACCTAAATACTGAGCTTTTTTACGACTAGTTTTTTTGGTATTGTCTCCTTCTCCAATTACATCATCTTCATCCTATTCAAGCCAAAAATTAAATAAAAAAACATATGAACACCATAGTAAAATTTTTAATACTTTAGAAATTGTTTTTTTCTTGTATTGTTTATCTGGCAGAATAAAATCTTTTTCGTTAAAAGCATGCAATAGTAAAAATTCATTCCTTTCAGCACGTCCACCAATAAGAGTTCTCGACATTAAGTTTCCAGCTATTTTAGTAATTTGAAGAGCTAATGGTAATACATTCATTTGTACCATAAGTCGTAATATACAAGAAGTATCCATAATTGTAAATTTAATTAGTTGTATTAAAGCTTCAGCAGAACTATTAATAAATCAAGAAAAAATTAAACAATATTATTTTTACGATTAAAATGACTTTGATATTAAATGAAATTTAAAAGTAGAATTAAAGCTTACCAATACATATAACTAACTTCTTCGTCAGATAAATTTAACTGTTGATTTTCTTTAACATTCAAAATCTTAAACATTTTAATAAGAAACTTATTTATTAAATTCCATATTAAATAATTTATTTGGATTAGTATATTAAAATGGTAGTAAGTAATAGTGATGTTCTAACTGTTCAGTTTTATTTTCAAAGTGATTTACAAAGGAAAAATTTTTTTTGAAAATAAATCTAGTAAGATCAAAAAGATCATGTTCAATTTGCTGAAGAATGACATAAAAAATATTTTGCCTGAAAATGATTAATATTAATATTCAGTTCAAATTTAATCAAATATTTTGATTGTTCAGTACCATTCAAACTATTGATATATAAAAAGTTTGTAAGCTTTTGTTCAATCTTAAAAATCAGGTATAACATCACAAATAAGCAATAATATGTTTAAAAATCAATTAACATAATAAATTTTAACTAACTTGTTCACATAAAGTATATAAATCATAACTTCTTGCTCTAATCAATTCTTTAGCAGAAATTTGAGTGTCACAAATTAAACGTCCACTAAGAATATTTTTTTCGCTTATGAATTTTCCCTGATAAAAAAAGAAAAGTAATAGAATATAATTAAATTTAATGAATTTATCCATACTTTTTTAGGAAACATTGTTCTACGAAGACGACCAATTTTAGACCAATTTTGTATTTTATTACTTTCTAAGCGATTCACAAGTGATGCTAATATATAACTACAAATATCATGTCCAATAATAATATCGGGGTCAACTTTAGACATCTTAGCTAAAAAATAAGTTAATAATGCTCTTTCTGAATCCATTTTTACTATATTAGTTGGATCACCACATTTTTTAAATTCTTCTTGATAACGTGGTGGCCATGGAATATTGATAGGTCGAGTAAAAGCTAATAAATAAATTAATGAAAATACAATGTTTAATAATAAAAAAATTATGATATTACCACAAAAGAATTGGTTGTGATGAGGAGTAGGTGGTGCTTGATCAATAGGGAAATTTGAATGTATCATACAAGTAATCATTAAAATTTCATTTTGTTTTGTCTTTTTATTATAAACAATTCTTGGATTTAGTGTCATAATAACCATAGGAGGGGGAGGAGCTGTGGGTGCTAACTGAATATTTTTCATGTCCATACAATTTATCTGTAAATGAATGACCATGTAAAATATGTATATAGTGTTCAGTAAGTAG